CACGTCTGTCACTTCCGGACCTGTCTCTCTGGCCCGCTGGGATGGCTGTTCTATGTCGAATGAACGCTGGGAATAAAGCTTATTAAAGGCACGTGTGTCTCTGTTGTCCATAAGGAGCGGCATACAGGTGGCCAACGGAGCATTGACCAATCAGCCGCCTGACCTGGCCGACACAGGGATGGTACCAGTGTGTGGGCCGGGAACAAGCACGCGGAGGTCTAACTCCAACGCAGAGCTCCGAATTATAGGTAAGCATTAGGTTGGGTTGTGTGTGTGTTAGGAAAAAACATCCACTCGTCCCTTGGGCTTGAGCTTCAATATCATGATAACTTGTATTTATGATCCTCTCATAGAATGGAAGTACTCATCCACATAACAGACATCCAACTAGTCCTGAACCAGGTGTCCTTCACATGCTGATATCCAAGAGAGGGAGTTACACAGTCACAAGATGGAGGAATAGAAAGCAGTCTTCATGTTTCTTCGGATTAGCACTCCACGTCAGAAATGATCATGCTTGTCATATGTCTCTCTCCAAGAGGCTGGATCATCATGTTAATCACATAGCTATCATTATGCCTCAAACAGTCCTGATGCTCTTCTAGGTAATCACACATCCTGTCATGTACACAGCTACAGTTGGGATACCTTTGTTATCATGTGTACTCTGATATTGGAAGACTACATTCAGTATTTTCACAACGGTGTCCGTTTGCAAAGACATGTGTTGATTTGCATTAGTTTGTCCATATTTGTTCTCAAGTTTGCTTCGTCTTCTGCTCGATACCTACCGGATGACCTACGGCCTCTCTGTTATTGGCCGCTAATTGAAAAGCATTCATTATAGGATGAATGCGTCCTGCTGACAGTGATGTATTTCCAGCGCTGCTCCGTCCACCATCTGCCCGGTCAGGACTGTCACTCTGTACTCCCCGCAGTTCTTAGTCACTATTCATCTTCCAACACGTCTAGTCCTGATCATGTTGCTTAAACAAATCTGACTGAACAAAGCAGAGGGGTCAAACTTAAGTTTTGAAAAGTTGCAAAGATATTGAAAGGTGGATTTGTTTTATTTTTCAATTGTTTACACCCAGGAGGAAGCAAGTCCTTAACCCATAGGACCACATAGGTTGCTCAGTACTTCCCTCTTATACTGTAACGACCATTCAAGATCACCTAAATAACTGCACCTACTGGTGGCAGAGGGTCAGAATGTCCTCAAGCCTAAATATAACAATCAAATGCTTATACATACTTATATATACCTCGCTCTGCATCCATCACAGCAAATTGGACTGAGTTTATGATGGCTGTTCTCAAACCTGACTCCAAAATCTTTGAACGAGCTCCCAATTGAATTTTGGTCAGCAGAAAGTCTATATATCTTTTATCGCAAACTCAGAACCCACCTCTTTCCCCCGAACTTGCCCGTTGACATTTTTTAATAAAATAGCACTTGAGCTCAGCCCAATTGAAACTAATGCACCAGCACTTAAAGCGAATATACCTGTACTTTCCTTTTAATGTAATTTCATGTCGTGTAACTATGGTAACGTGTGGATCAGTCGTTTATAATGAGGTTTAGGCATCAGAAGTACTTGGTTAGGTTCAGGTATAGGTCATGACTTAGGGTTAGGGTTAGGGGTATCCTACTGAATGAAAGTCAATCAAGCTACATTTTATGCAAATGTATGCAGGAAAGCTAGCCAATCAACGTCACTATATTTTACCCCTTGTTGCTCCTTCTCTCCTGTCTATTTATGGCTGTCCTATCAAAAAAATGCAAAATGGCCAAAACATCATCATAATGATAACTGAAAGATGACTAATGGTCGTCTCCTGGGTGAAAGTCCTCGGTTTGTTTGAATCATCCATCCACCCCCACCTAATTGTGTAGAGATGTTCCCTGATCTGTTCCTAAACTCTAACCCATGAGACTGATTTTAATCTAAACCGTGATCTTTTCTTGAACCTAACCAAGTGTTTTGTAAAGACTATTTAGTGATGAGCTAAAGAACAAGACATTTCGGTCCCTGCTGAGAATAATTATAGTTATAATCTCTTCAACCGCACATCATTAATTATAGGCTTTGCTATTAGCTTTTTGATTACCAATTATTCAGATAGTGAATAATGTAATCTTGTGTCTTCAATTTACCACGGCAATAAAGAAATGTATTTATGAACTCATTATCCAAAATGGTGAAAAAAAAAAAGAACAGAATTAAATTATATATCCGATAAATCGTCAGAGATAATATGAAGGATGAAAAAAAAGTGAGGTTTTAATTTGCCGCTCTTGTCTCAGCTGTTGCCCCAGATTTCTCTCACAACCAACTGAAGAGCCAGACGCTGGTGAAGGTAGGAGGAGACGTGCTCATCGAGTGCAAACCAAAGATGTCTCCTTGGGGTGTGATCTCATGGCGGAAGAGCAACGAACCACTCCGAGAAAGTAACAGGTAACAAAACATGTACTCATTTTGTTCTGCTTCTACCCCACTGTGAGGCTTTGGCTTCTCCTCGCGTGTTCTCATTACTTTTAGCCAGGTAGGGATCCCTGGTGGCCGTGTTCGTCTGCAATAATACAGACACATCTTTTGCTAGACAACACTTGCTCCTTCCAGATGTACCGTCTTGTTCCCATTTGAATATGTAACGTGCAGATTAAGCCATCACCGGTTTTATGTTTCCCCCAGCTGGTTGCAAAATTGGACGAGAGTCAAGTATGATATGAACGAAGCATTTTCACTGCTACCTTCAATCAATGTGTCTTTTCACTAGGTACTGTACATTATGGAGGGAAAATATCCTTCTTTACTAGTTTACATTTTCTGCACTACCACAAGATACTGCAAAATTATTACCAGAATATATAATAATAATAATCTTTGTATTTATTATTGCACTTTATCAATGACTCAAAGCACTTTACAAATACATGTAATGGTCATGTACTGTGGACAATACCCACAGGAGCAAATTCGGGTGAAGTGTCTTGCCCAAGGACACAACGGCAGTGGGTTTCACCGCCCTGATCTGATAATCATTGCACAGCCCACTGCGCCACATCGGCCATCTTCACACCTCGAAGTCATCAAGGCGCTTTTACAAGTACACATTGATATTATACATGTACTGTGGACAACACCCACAGGAGCAAATTCGGGTGAAGTGTCTTGCCCAAGGACACAACGGCCTGACGCAGTGGCGGCGGGAGCGGGAGCGGGTTTCGAACTGGAGTTCCCCAACACCCCGTTAATCTGATGATCAAATGCACAGACCACTGCTCCACCCGTCACACTCGATATATGGCAACAGTTCTCGGTTTTCACTTTTTCTGTTCATACAAACGAGAGCACTTTGTGAAAAAAACGTAGCCAAATTTCATTGGGCCAGTTCGGCAACACAGCAGGATTACCTTGCAATTATCTGCACTAACCAATTCAATACCATTAAGATAAGCCCACATTACTTTATTACTTTATAACTGCATTTCTGTTGATTTCCAATGGGCAACTTCGGTGTTGAAAAAAGTGCCTCAAATCTTCGTTCTCTTAAATCTGGAGCACGGTGCACCTCCACTGGTTGCTTGAATACAAAACTGCAATGTGTGGAGTTAGAAGGGAAAGCGATTTTTATGTACCTATATGCGTATAATCTGTTTGTTTGTGCCATCTTTTTTAATTGAATTGAAGTCTATGAGAAAATGACTCTATTTCTCGATTGAATTAGTACCTCGGTAAACATTTTCCTAATGAGGTTATGGGCTTGGTCATTAGTTTGGATTTGTCTTCTATACAGAATTATGTTACATCTTTAATGTATTATTATTATTATTATTATTATGAAAAGTTAAGACGGTTAAGCAGGGTGTACTTTAGGTACTGGCTACCTGGGTATGAGTCCTAGAACTACAATACTTTCACTGTGTGTTGTTAGCTGTCTAACCCTACAACCCAGTCTCACAGCATTTCGTGTTATCGTTACAAAATGTAATCTATTGATTTGTGTTCACCAACATGATTTTCCTATTTTTGTCGTGTCACACAGAACGATTTTAAAAGCAATGTATTTCTACTGGTAGTATGTTTCGTGCCTGCACCACGTCTTTTTGTCCGGTCGGGTCTTGGAAGACCAGAAGCTGTGTGGTT